TAAAACTTGGAAACAGCCCAAGTGCCCATCAACTGGAAACTGGATAAAGAAGATGTGGTTTTTTTATAAAATGGAGTATTACTCTGCCATAAAGAACAAGAAACAAGAGACATTTATAGCTAAATGGATGCATATTGAGGCCACACTCTTAAGTGAAATAAATAGGACACAATTGTGTAAATACTGAAGTTTCTCTAGTGTGAGAAACTGAAAGTGTAAATAAGGATTAAAACAAATAAATGATAATTTGAAATAGGAAGAAAAGGTCCAAAGGGGTGGGAGAAGTGGGAGGGGCAAGGGAAAGGAAAAATTATGAGAAAAGGAAAAAATAAGAACCAAGATACATCATGTATAGGTACAAGCACCCAATGATAAATGTACACGTACTGTATACCTAAAATGTACCAATAAAAGAATTTAAGCAAAAAAAAAAAAAAAAAGAAACATTTTCTGTTATACATTACTTTTTAGTCCTAAAAACACACAAAAATTCAGAGTACTCACTGATACGTACCTTATTTCCCTCAATCTTCAGTAGATTTACAAGATCAGTATTAAGTTTTAAAAACTTTTGTAATTGACAGTTCTCAGGGCATTCAGACAAGTTTTTCTCATAATCATATTTTCAAAATATCTTCATTTCAAATGTGGAATGACAGAATCATAAAATTTAAGAATTGGAAGGGACTACTGTCAAATTATACAATTATCCCACTTAATATAGAAATTCCTTTTATGAAAGAAATGTGCTGATAGAAATATCATTAATTCAAATCTTTTTATTTTTTTCCAGTACTGGGGATTGAACTCAGGACCCTGTGCTTGCCAGGCAGGCATAGCACCACTGAGCTATAACCCCGGTCAATTCAAACCTCAGTACATCATGTTGCTCATTAATAGTTCTCATTTTTAAAAATTTCTTCCTAATATCAATCGATGAAATATCCTCCCATGATTCCCATGCAGGGATCTTTTTTTTTTTTTTTTTTTTTCTTGGTACCAGGGATCGAACTTGGGTCCTTGTGCTTGTGTAGCAGGCAGTGAAACCACTGAGCTAAATCCCCAATGGTTGTTTGGGACAAGGAGTGACAGTACAGGTAAAAGGTGACTTGTGGGGTTTCTGTTGTTTTTTTTTTTTTTTTTTTTCAGTATTGGCGATTGAACGTAGGGAGCACTGAGCTACATTCCCAGCCCTTTTTATTTTTAGACAAAGTCTCACTAAGTTGCCTAGGCTGGTCTCAAACCTGCAATCTTCCTGCCTCACCTTCCCAAGTAGCTGAGATTATGTGTACGAGCCACTATGCCCAGCAGGAGGAATTCTACTTCTGTTCTCTAAAACTATATAAATTTTAAAAATATAGACAAGCTATACAATGATTCTTAATCAGAATATCT